TGTGCATGGCTTAAAAAGGGAACATACCAGTGAAATGTTGTGGTGCAGCCTCTTCATCACTTTCTCCTTCATTGACGTTATCCTGCAGCATGTAAGAATAAGAAAAATTAGAACATAAATTTTAAGAAAACTCATACATTACATCAAATAGTCAAATAATAAATTTATCTCCTTTTTAGCTATTAAATAAAAATAAACACTAAATTTAAGACGAAAAACCTGCTCCTCAAATATTTTTGATAGCTGCAAGGCTTTCTCTTTTTCAGCAAGCTTTCTGCTCTTGTCTACCCATGCTAAAACCTCAGAACCACCTTCTAACTTTTTCTTCAATCTTTCTTCCCTTGTTCTGCAACAAAATGTAATTAGTGATGCCGACCCGCAAGAAAACATCAGAAGACCTATTACTGGATGCATATTGTTCACAAATTGGAAGCTAATTCTGATTAATTTTATTCCTTTTGGATTAAAGTTGGAGTGATACCATTCAAATTGTAAGTATGTTCCACTAACAGAAGGTACAATACAACCTCTCTATCCCTTCGTACTGAAAATAAAAACTAATTAACTTCGGTAAACCCATTGCAATCTTTACAATATTAGATGTAAATTGTTGAAGTGGATATGAAATAGCATACGCTTAAATGCAGTATTTTTCTAATTTTTGACAGAAAAACCATTGTTATATCAGAAAGTGGTCAAAATACTGATCACACAGCATATTTTTAAACAAATTTGAAAGTTAAATAAGTTTTTACATTAAGATAGTCACGGAAATTTTAATGATTCATATAATATTAAAAAATAAAGAAACAATATTTCCATTTATGAGCGATGGGATTGCATATTGAGAATTTAAGGATTAAGCAGTAAAAATTTACTCACTTTAAAATGCGCTCCTCCAACTCAGATGCTGGTTGGCGAGATCTAGCAGCTTCAGCCTCGGCACTCTGTTTAGTCTTGAGACCTTTGGAGTTGCCCTCATCAAAATAATCCATTCCCTCCTGAGTGATACGCTTATGATGAGAATAATTAGTTTCTAATCTTGAGTTATCATCCTTTTCCAAATCCTTGCTCCGATCAAGACTCTCATCCTTGTGTTTACGACTACTTCTATCTCTATCCCTTGCCCTTTCCTTGTCTTGGTCTGCCTGCTTTTCCTTCTCCCTAGTTCTCTCCTTCCCCTTCTCTCTCTCAACTGCTTCTTTACCCATGTCCCTGTCATTTTCCCTATCCCTATCCCTCTCCCTCTCCCTTTCCCTTTCCCTATTTTTGTGCTTTTCTCGCTCCCTCTCTTTTGTCCTTTCCCTATCTTTAACCTTTTCTCTGCTCTTATCTTTTACACCCTCTTTATCTCGTCCTCTCTCACCATCCTTCTCCAATAATTTCTCCCTCTCCTTCTCCTTCTCCTTCCCCCGGTCCTTACGGTCTTTATCTCTCTCTTTGTCCCTGTTCTTGTCGCGATCATTATCCTTCTCCCGTACTTTGTCCCATGTCTTGTCCTTTCCCCGGTCATCTCTGTCCTCCTTCCTTCTATCCCTACTGGATACTCTCTCTTTCTCTAAATCTTTGCTCTCTTTCTCTGTTTCCTTCAAAATTTCACTCTTTGACTTTTCACGATCTCTACTCCTATGCTCTTTATCCTCTTTCCAGCCACTGCTTTTGCTCTTATCTTTGCTCCCGTACTTGCCTGACTCTCTTAGTTCATCAGACACATTATCTTCCATATCGTCATATCCACCACCCCACCTCTCCCTCATAGGTTGGTCATCTTGATCCCTCATCTCAGCAGAACCTTCACGCCTTGAATCTGCCAAATCTACCCCCATTACCAGAACAAGCCAAAGAGATGATCGAAGATACAATCTACCTATGTAAACTGAAAGATAGGGTAAATATAAAAAGCTAACATTTAAATAATAATAACACAACCATATGGTGTAAAACCACTTCTGTCAAAGTTCAACACTTTGGTGAGCAATTAAGAACAAAGGAAAAAGGAATATAAATCACAGAGAAATTAAAATACACCCGTAAATTCTAAAATCTAAACTATACGCCAACGTATCCAATCGTTTATAATCAAGGGGCCCAATTTCAAACAATCTAATTTCCTTAATAAAATTAACCAAATTATAACTAAATATCAATCTCTTCAAAAACCCTAAAATTCAACATATTTAAAAAATAATAATTAATTTTTCAACTAAACTCTTATCAGAACACTAATTTATAGCCTCGTTCGCGCACCTAAGCACCGAATCTCAACAATTCATCCAGTAAATTACCTGCAGTACTGTCTAGGTACCTTGTTTTGCTAGGACTAACGAAGAACAGGATGTAGCTGCGTATGACTATAGGCCTATTTGCTGGGCTACGGCGCTAAAGGCCCCTAACAATGGGCTACATGGTCAAGTTATTATGGGCTTTATATTTTAATCGTTAATGAAATGAGGAAATTACGTATTGTAATAAATTAAAAATTCACATTTCATAAATAACATACCATATTTAGTATTTCACAAATTAAAAAAATTAATTAATTAATTAATCAATATAATTAAAATTAATTAAATTAACCATTTCAAACCTAATTATCGCCTCTTTCTCTCTCTCTGCCAGTCTCAATTACCTTTCTCTCTCTCTATCTTATCGACTGCGTGTTTCCCTCTCTTCTCTATTCTCTCATCGTCACTTTCTTCTCTTCTTTATCTCTGCCGGCAGCGCAGCTCGCACCACTGTTGTGAGATGGGTGTGTGTGTGTGTGTACGTGGGTCTGGGGGTGTGTGTGCGACGACTGTGGCGTGGTAGTGGCGCACTGCAGATTCCCCTTTCATTGCAGCGTTATGGATTTTGTGTGGTGGTGGTGTGCTGCAATCGTTGCAGCATCGTAGATTTCGTGCAGTAGTGGTGCGCTACAAATCCCTCGATCTGTGGCAATCGTGGATTTTGTGTGGCGACGACGAAAGTGTTTGTGTGTTGACGGTGTTGCGATGGGTGGCTTATCTGGCAGTGAGAGTTCACTGGCAATATTCAAAGGGTGGCGGTGGTTTGTTGGAAGTGTTGCGATGGATTGTTTGAGGTGCTGTGGTGGCGGCTCTCGACGGATCTGGTGTTTGTGTGGACTGTGACTCTCAATTGTGGTGTTGGGATTGGTGTGTGACAAGTGGTGACGATAGTGATGGCGATGAGAATTGTGACTATGACTGACTCCCAATTGTGAATTGTGACTCACAATTGGATACGTAATCTGAAAATTTTGACTGTGACTCCCAATTGTAACTCACGATTGATTAAGTTGTCGAAAAATTAATCATGACCAATTAATCCAATAATTTGCAACAAGTAAATGAGTTGTAACCAATAATATTTTTTAGGTCACGCATTTTTTTTGTGGTGATCACAAATTATTTAGTTGACTGTGACATTAAATTAGTTAATCTGTGACCAATGAAAAAAATAAATTGTGACCTGAAAAATTGTTAATCTATGACTGATAATTTGATAATTTGTCTATATAAGAAATTGTGATTTATAATATTTGTGATTTGTGACCAATAAATAAATTGTAACTTATAAATTTTTCAATTTGTGACCGATAAACAAACTGTGACCTATAAATTTTTGAATTGTGACCGTAAAATAATGTGACATCAAATTTCTGATTTGTGACCAAAAAATAAAAAGTAACGAATTAAATCATTTATTTGTGATAAAATTATATAAATCTGTGACTTAAATATATTTAATTACTAAATTAATTAATTAATTAAATGGTAAATAATTTTTAATTGAAATCTGATTTTTGAAATTTGAAACTTGTTTTTGAAATGTGTCATAATTAATCTCTTACTTATAAAATTTTCCCTAATGAAATTTTAATGAGAAAATTAGACTCACTACCATCCAAAATGAAAGAATTAGATAAGGGCGATTTAACTAAAAATCTTTTTAAAATCATATTAAAAGTTTTATGAAAGTAAAAATACTGCCTAAAATGAAAAAGTGACGCAATGTCACTTTTTTTTTAATAAAATTTTTATAAAAAAAGTAAAAAAAATTAAAAAAGTAACAGAAATTTAAAAAATGTGATGAATTTAAAAGTCTAACACAAATTAAAAAAAGTTATGCAGATTAAAAAAAAAAAAGTGACAAAAAATATAAAAGTAACACTTTTCCACATTTTCCTTGCGCAAACGTTTTGCATTCATTAATCGAATTGATTCAAAGTTTTCCTTTTTATATGTATCAATATAAAACAATACTTGAATTTGTATGTTCAAATTTTCAAAAAAGCGCACACATATGCATCTAGTTAATTGTTCTAATGACATAATGTGACTTTTTCTGTTACTTTTTCACGTTCACCTTAAACAAGCACATTACATAAATCAATCTAATTGATCCAAAACTATCTTTTATGTATTAGCATAAAACAAGATTTGAATTTGTATATTCAAATTTTTACAAATGCACATGTGTGCATCTAGTTAATTGCTCAAATGAGATGGTGTGACATTTTTTAGAAAAAGTGACAGAATGTTACTTTTTCACATTCTCATTTTGTCAAACTCCTTGTATGCATCAGTTTAATTGATTCAAAGTTAATTTTTATATGTATTGACACAATCAGTTTCTTCTCAAGTTCAAGAATTTTATTTTCAAACATATTTCCAATTACAATAGCAAAATCATCAAAAAGAACTTCATGAGTATCAATTATTTACATTATAAGGTTCAAGCCTAATCACATTGCCAACAGGCTCTTTGCTCCTCATTTAAGTTCTATCAACTAATGGAGACCAATCTGCTACCTGTTCAAACAACTATGCTCCAGTAGTAACCCCAGAATGAAACAGGTAACCAACCCTCTTCATCATTTATATGTTCATAATCCTTATTCATTTAAATATGGTTGTAGAATCCCCATTTGAGACAAAATTCATAGAGTAATATTAGGCATAAATATTCGTTTAAATACGGAAAACCACATGAACACGAAATAATAACAAAATCTAAGTGAACTTCTGAAGGAATATCCCCCATCTGTAGGGAATGACCATTTTTTGCAAGCTATATATCATGTCACATAGGATTAAGTTGTACATCTTTTTGAACTAGTTGGTCTGCTCGATGACATGCACCTGGTAAACATCGGTAGTCATGAACACGCCAAGAAGGACCACTAGACCGAAAGCTTCAAAGTGATCATGCCATGAACATCATAGCTACCATAACTGTGATTTGATAATTTTTCAAGAAGACAAACTAAATTGAAAGCTTCTAAGTGTGTGATTAAAAACAATCACCACTTCTAATAAGAGGAAGCTACATGGAAATAAAGACAAAAAGAAAATGACCCAGTATTGAAATATCTATTGGTAAGGACCACTTCCATCTCCATTAAATTCAATGATCTTTGTAGGACTTTGGATGACACTGGAATTATTGCTCTTGATTTCAACATTTACACGAACACCTAGAGTGCATTGATGCCCGAGTCTATCCAAAGTATTCCAAAAACCTCAGTATTACAGATCCATGTCGTGACTTGGAAATCTTCAAAATGTGAGATTAAAAACAACCAACTCTTGCTTAAGTACTAGTATTAAACATATTACAGTAAGCAATAGCTAAGGAAAAACAAACTAGTATTCCTCATCACTAATTGTAGTAAGCAAAGGCATAATACCAACTATTAGTAGAAATTTTGACACTAGCTATAAAAGCAGATATCATATTCACTCTAAGGCATGTCCAATAGTATCTAAATAACAGAACAACACTTCACCATGGTAAGCAAATAAACACGATATTTAGATGCCCATTCTAATAAGTAATCACATTGCGGTATTTATCTTCAAAAAACAAAACTATAGTGCAGCAAATAGTACATAAGAAGGTTTTATAATCAACTCTGTATACCATGACCGAAGAAATAAAGAAAGGTCACCTAAGAGAATCTTCATAGCATCTCACAAACAAAAAAAATCCACATAGCATTTTACACAAAACAACACTTGACTGTTAAACCTCACAAAGTATTTATTTATAATTGTGTTGAAAAGGGTTTAAATTCCAATCTTAAGCCATCATATACATGGTCAATGGAAAAATATAGCAAAAAATCCGACTGATATCACATTGATTGAAAAATAACAAAATTCACAAAGGAAAAGAACCTCACTATATCCCAAACCCATTGTCATACGCTGAATTGCACATTTAAAATCCTTAGTTATATCTCTAGCTTTTGCTATTCCTTCTCCATTTATACTAGCAGAAACTAATAAAGCTTCATAATCATTTGAGAACTTTAAAATGTCAAAAAAAAAAAAAAAATTGAGAAGAAAAGAAAAAATAAATGCATCAAAACTCGAATCGAATACCAATATTTCAATAGAAAAATAAAAGGAAGGAATAGATCTTACCGTTAATGATGCAAACTAAAGCAACAAGCTTCAAGAAATAGTCTGCAAAGGAAGAATAATAATCAATTCGAAACACCAAAGTCGATATTGAATGATTTACCGGTTAACGATGGTTTTTTTTGCCCTATATTTTTCATACGAAGAAACTTGAGTCTGGATTTTGTGGGGATTTTGGGATTTTTGTCTAAAATCGATAATGAGCACTGTGTTGTTCTGGGGTTTTGAGGGGACTTGTGGGCGTATTTATTATTGGATTAAATGTTTTAATTAGTTTTAATAGTATTATTCTAATTTTCTTTTCTTTTCTTTTTTATTATTATTTTTTTCATTTTTTATTTTTTTGTAATGTTTGAGGATAATGAACTTAATTTTCCCATTAGATTATGTGGAAATTACAAAAAACCCAACTCTTAAAAACATGTGTTCTAAAATCAAATGGAAGGTTTCAATTCTCACAAATCAAAATTTTCAACCCAGACCGTAATACATTTACCCAAATCGTAAATCATTTCTCCTCCTCTCTCTCCTCAACTCTTCTTAGTATCCATTTTTCTCTCCCTCTCC